CTTAGACCCCTTTTTCCCCTCTTTCCAAATTATTCATTTAGTCTAACTCACAATTATTTTCTAATAGTGTGTAGTGTTTGTATAGATAGTAGGTTCCTAAAATCCTGGATTGTTAGAAATAAAGATATCGTTATTTTAACCTGTAGTAGTTTGTGTTTATTGAACAGCGAATGGTTGACCACTCATCCACATTCTATTTAACCAGCATTCTAACCAGTCATCAGTGCCAGATTATTCTCGAGCCAGTGGTGAGAGTGTTCCAGGGTTACCTGAGTGTTTGTTATTACCTGACCCTGTAACAAGGGATTCAACCATCTCCAACATTTAACACCCAGCCCAAACTACCCACCTCCACTGGCATACTCCATCACTAGGTAAAGGGTCTTTTCCGTCTCTAACACCTCAAACAGCTTCACTGTAGACCAAAACAGAAGGACATTCGGTTGAATAACATGTTAGAATACCTGCTGGCCACACCCATACATACTGCACATATTAAATCAATGCCATAAATGAGACGGGAGGTGCCTTACCTATGTTAGGGTGATTTAAGCCTTTCATGATCCGTACTTCCCGAAAAAGCTGAAAGAGAGGGGGAAAAAAAGAGATGAAACCCAAAGAGTAAGGCTAGGATTGAAGGTTAAGCCTCAGTGGCTCCAAAGTCCCTCCAGACCTCCATCAACTATCAAAATCTATGTCATTTATTTATATTTATTTATAGTAACAACACAACAACAAAATAAATATTAACAAATTACCCATAAAATATAGTAACATGGAAATATATCTTAGAGGCCAGATCTCATTTGTCTCCCTTGAAACCCTGCCAGGTCCTAAATATTCATGTTGAAGGAGAGAGACATGAGAAACAATAGCTTTCATTTTTTACATCCCATTCAATTCACTGTTGACATAGACAAACCTGATAACATGGCTCTAAAACTGGGATTATAGAACATTGAATTCTTTGTGTGTATTCACAACAATAGATAGAAACACAAACTAATTTAAACTTTTTAAATTATGTAATAAGAATTATGTGCAAATTCTGTTATCCCAAAGTTGAACAGAAGAAACACTTTTCCAAATCGAATTAGTCAACAAAAGTTTCAATAACCTTTTAAAAACCAAGCTTTGCAGTAGGCATAAAACTTCTCAGCTGATTTATCAGGAGAAGCAGCTCCTAGACATCTCTGGGCCTAAAGTAACTGGATCACATTTAGAAGTGGTGAAATCCTGCAGCTGGTTTAAAATGGCAACAACAGAATCAGTCAAAGTGCAGCCAAACTTGAAGCAGCTCTAATGGAGCGCCGTGTCTGGTGTGTGGGACATGCGGCAAAAGCCTGCACATCAGGCTTCATGTAAGCAGCAGGAGCAGTTATCATCACCATAAGCTGTTGTACTCCATTCGGATCTTTGAGCTGACTTCACTAACAGAGCCCGACGTCAACTGTTGCCATGGCAACAAAGGTATTAAAAACCAGCTCTTTTTCGCCGCACTCCAAAGAATGTTGGGATATGTAGTCCTGAAAGCATCTCATCATCTTGATCTTTGCATTAGTTCCCAGCTATAAAGCGGATTCTGATTCATCACAATAATAACAGCTAAGGATTCCTCCAGCTAGCGTCTGACCCTCATTGCTGTTGATTACACAGCAGTCCTGAAACTACAGTGGATGTGCAGAGCTCTGTGCCAATATGGCTCCAACTGCAAATCCTGGCTGCAGTTCAAATCCAGCAGATGGCAACAAACTGAATTAAAAGGAGGTTTTTACTCAGATGTGGTAGAAAACAAAAAATGTAGATAGTGTGATCTAATGTCTGAGATATTCCATCAACAGATCTTGGAGAGAAACACAGTAATCTCCAGAATCAGAGATTATCTGATTAGATTTTCCCAATATGCATTTTTACGCCTTTTTCGTTGTTGTATATAATATGCAGAAACCCTTATTTTTTTCCATCCCTTCAGAGTTATAGGCATCAAGTTTATGTAGATTTGGGCTGTTTAATGTTTTCGAACCAAAGAAAATCTCCTTGTTCAAAGAAACATTACATATATAATTATTACTCATAATCTTACTCATACTGTAAAAAAATGTTTAGAGCCTCTTTATTTGTTGGTGCTTTAAATAAATATAAGACAGATTTGCAATGCCAAACAATGCCAAAGAGCAGATTAGATTTTTTTATTGACACTAATCCTTTCCTCTTCTTGGCCTCTGATACTAGTGACCTTATGCTGTCGGGGAATTATTCAGGGGTTAGAGTATTCAGTAAATACAACAGAATTTTGTTGTTTTGTAATCCAGATCCTGATTTCATTGTTTTACATTAGAATAGTTAACAGATTTTTGCAGCTGATTTTAGCACCACGAACTCTGTAAAAGGAAAAACATGTTTTTTGGTTTTATGGCCCATAAGACATAGAATTAGACAACTTTTATGGTAATTTTGTATATACAAATACATTTCATTTAGTACAGCTTTCCAGACAGTAAATTAACATTTCCATTTCACTAAGTGCACCAGTGAACAAATTTAAACAGTGTGGGAGAAAAAAAAAATGTCAAAAAATGCATTAATATGGAAGTTCAGAGCATTAATATATATGATGCAAATATGCAGTATTGTTTGGTGTTTATAACTGTAAAGTGCCTTGAGATTACATGTGTTGTGAATTGGGGCTATATAAATAAACTGAATTGAACTGAATAAGTGTAATGCAGAGCCTGAGACATAATTTAAAGTTTTTTCAGCCGGTCACCAGTCTGATGGCGATTTGGAAGAAACTGTTGCAAAATCTGCTGGACCTGCATTGAATGCTGTGAAGCCTCTTCTCAGAGTGCAGCGGGGAGAACAGTCCATGGTGGGGGGTTGAGGGGTCACTGGTGATGTTACAGGCTCAGGACATGCAGCCCTGGGATGGAAATGTCTTTTATGGAAGGAAGAGGAGCCCCCATGATCCTCTCTACTGTTCTCACCACTCTTCTGACTTTCTTCCAGTCTGAGGCGCTGCAGCCTCCACACCACACAGTGACACAGCTGCTCAGACCGCTCTCTATGGTGCTTCTGTAGAATGTGGGGAGGATGGGTGGGGGCAGGTGGGCTCTCCTCTTCAGTATGTACAAGCACTTCTGTGCCCTTTTGACCAGTGAGGGGGTGTTTACATTCCAGGTGAGGTTGACTGTGATGTGCACCCCCAGGAATTTGGTGCTGTTGACCATCTCTACAGCTGAGCTGTTGATGACCAGTGTGGTTAGACCGGTTCTTCCTGAAGTCAACAATTATCTTTTTCGTCTTCTTCACATTCAGGATCATGGGAGGGGTGCTGCTCTGAATCGTTGATGGTCTAAAGTGTTTCCACCTCAAGTTGCAAAGTTCACGTTGGTCTAAATGAGGAATACAGTTAGCCCGGTTAAAATCCTCAGCAATGATGAAAATGCCCTTGTGTGTGCAGATTGGAGCTTAGAGATAGCCTGGTATAGAATCTTCTTGGCCTCTTTTGTATTAGCGCAGGGTGGCACATATACAGCAGTAATGCTAACCACACTAAATTCTCCTGGCAGTTAACAGTAGTGTTGCCAGCTCAGCGACGTTGTTGCTTTATTTAGCAACTTTTCAGACCCCTCCAGCGACTCTTTTTCAAAAAAGCAACTAGCGACAAATCTAGCGACTTTTCTGCCATGGGGCTCCTCCCCCGTCCCAACCTTGTCACTCTCAGCTCTGCAGTCAGAGCCACAGCATGTTTACCCTCAGCGTCCAGGCTGCAAATGAGCCGATTGCATGCGCTGGGATTGATGGCGCAGGTTGATCACGCTGGAGTCAGCTCCCTCAGTTACTGAACCTGCCATAGAGAACCTCAACCAACATGATGATGACCCACTCTTTCTGTGAGCAGGCAAGCACAGACTGTGTGTGGGGAGGAAAATCTTAGTAGTTAAAAAAAAAAACAATAATTGCCATTATTTGCTCACATTGTCATTGATTCTTTGTAGTCTTTTTTGTTCCATTTAAATTGTTAATGTTAATGTTATGTAAAAAATTGTATGGTTCAAAATGTTCATGTTTTACCATGCTTTTTAAGCTCCTTAGTGGACCACAAGGCAAAAAAGAAAAAGTAAGAAAAAAAAAAGGTTCAGTGACTTCTAGTGACTTATAGCACAGCCAATAGCTACTGTCTTTACTGAGGAGTTGGCAACACTGGTTAACAGTCAGAAACTGGATGTCTGGATGATGGCGCAGCAGTTACTGTTTGAGTCAGAGATTATCCATTTTGTTATCCAGTGAGTGTATATTAGAAAGCAGGATTGATGTAAAGGTGGCCTAAAAAGGTTTTCTACTTAGCTTCACTGTTAGCCCACCTCTGCAGCGCCTCTTACACCGCCTTGCGCACCCTGCTCCTTTTGTTGTTTACACTCGTCCGAAGCACTCCACGGCTTTTTAAATGGTCAAGAATGGCTGTATTTAAGAGTCCAGAAATTACATTTTATGACCAAAGCTCCAGCAGTCGCTAGTTGTCATAGATGCAGGATTGATGCCTAATTTGTTGCGTTCTAATCTGTGTATTTTGTGTATTTCTCTGGAGCTGTAACAAAAGGCTGCCTTAAGGCACAACCATCTTGGAAAGCTTCATGGATCAGTCCTTAGTGCACAATCATCTATTGATCCTTTTTGAAGCTGATTCTTATCTCTCTTTAAGGATTTAAATAAAATTATAAAAACACAAGAAGAGCAAAAGCTATCTGTTTTAGGCTTCCTGTCTAAAAACACAGAAATTATAGTTTATTTCTATTAATTTGTCTGTGCTTCCAGAAGTCTTTTTTTAAAGGAGTCATATTCCCTCTACAATTTCCACCTCCAAGAGTTGTTTTCAATGCCGTTTGTTTGTCTTTGAGCAGGATTATTTGAAATATTATGGACAGATTTAATTGAGATTTTTACCATGTGTGCCTCATGCCAAGAAACTATATTTTTTATTTTCTTCATGATGATCCAGATCATAATCCGGAAAGGATTTTTTTTTAAAGTGTTCTTTAACATTATTTTGCAGCACAAGAGAGTCCCCCCAAAACCAGAAGGTGGCATCAGTGACTGCTGATAGCTTTTGGTCTGGATCTCCTTGTCAAACAAGAAAGAAGAGAGAAGGGCAAATGAAGAAGGTGAGCGCAGAACAAACACCAGTGGCTGCAGACACATGCTGTTCCTTACCTACGAACTCATATAAGGGTGTTAAGGACATTTTTACCAGAGGTGCATCTCATGCTAAGAGACAGCTTATTAAAATTTCCTATTGATCCAGATCCTGAGCAAGTTTTAGCTATAGAGGCCAATTATATGACATCTGTGACCCCCCCCCCCCTTGGATGGCAAAATAAACTGAGTGTACATACAAAACAGTTAGCAGCTGTTGCAGTTTTTCTACATATAACCTTGAAAACACCAACAAAAACATGGTAATCTTATGCTTGGTTCAGATGTCTCTTTACAGTAAGGCATTGGAAGACAGTTGGACTTTATTGTTTAGCTGTCTATTTCCACCAACTGGCTTTCTGACAGTTCTGCGCTACTGCCACCTCACCCAGTTCGGAATATTATTTAGGCTCAAAAATGGCTATTTAAATTCTGTCAGGTTGGACGTCAGGTGTATCTAACATTGTTTTATCATAATCAAATAGTTTGAAAAGCGATGCAGAATATTTTTCTGTGTTATTACTAATTTAAGCACCTAAAAGGTGCTGAGAATGGGTCACAGTAACCAGTTGACTACCTAAGGTTATTATCACCTTGATCTAGACTCGGAGACACAATAATAATAAAAAAACAACAACTATAATCTATAAGGTTATGTGTTCCAGTCAGGGCCAATGAAGTCAGAAACCAGTTTATTGCTACATCTTTCCATAAAAGCCCAAAACAGGGTAATCAGAGCTGAACAGATGCTGGTTAGCTAAGGGTGGTAAAGGTTGTATTAATGATCCTTCAGTAAACAAAGCTACCGTCTTTCTACTTTGCTTTCAATGCAATCACACACAGGGACAAAATGTAGCCAATGACACTGAAACTCATTCAGTTTTTATGTTTTCTATTGTTCTTGCTGTGTCTGTCACTGTGACAATGAAACAACTTAATTCTACTTTCTTTGAATCTTTTAAACATTTGCTACTGCGTTAAAGAAATACCAACTCTAAACATTACAGTAATGTCAAATAGGGCTTGGGATCATACTGTTCCAGTACTGATCACCACATAGTCATATTCCCATCACAGTAACCTTGGGATATTTGGTGCATCCTGGTCAGCTTCCCACACCACAGCAGCATTTATTGATAAAAACCATCACAAAAGAACGTTTAGCAAAGGTTATGGGACACAATTTTCATTTGGACATACACTTATTAGATCTCCACTCTAGAGCTGTTAGCAACAACCACAGAGACAACTTCTCCAATCAGTCAGGATCCATACCCTGATATCTGCACTGATTTAAAAAGCTGCACGTAGCAGCCATTCAGAATGTTCGGTCCCAGTCAAATGCCAGCCGAATGACAGCCCACTTCCCTCCAAATCCCAGCAAAATCCCCTCTAATTTCCAGCCAATGGAGTTTTTTTTTAATAGTTTTTTACTCAGACTCCACCGTTTCACTGAATTACAGGGTCTGACAAGGAGATGACGCTTCTCTTTAGATCTTAATGTGCACAAATTTTGAAAGAGAGAATATTTTTGTACAAATATTGATGTTTAAAAAATAATTGTAGGAGACCAGCCAAAGACCCATCAAGTAAAGTGGAAAAATTTTGAATGGCTTCTACTGTAGGTTCAATTTCATGATCCCCTTAGCAAGGCGCTTGACCCGAAGGTTGCATCGGTCTGCTATCGACGCATGTGTGTCTGAGGGGGGGATTGAATGTGACTTTGATATAAAGCATCAAGCCATCAGCAGAGGTTTAAAAAGTATTCATGTTTATTACTCAAGTAGAAATATAAGTCCTACTGTTTAAAAACACTTTTGTAGAAGTTAGAGTATCAACGTAAGCTTTTTACTCAAGTAAAAGTGTAAAAGTACCAGTTTTAAAACTATTTAAAGTATAAAATTTAAATTAACGCAGGAAAAATATATGTTATGTACAGCTGCTTTAAACCTTATACTGGTTAGTGTTCTTGCCTATTAAATAAACATTTGTTCTAAAATTCTGGATAATAACTTCCTTTTACTCAACTTTCTTAGTTATGTAACTAATGGCAAAAGTATCAAATTAACCTTTGCATCATCCTGAAAACAATTTATTTCGGTATGTGATGCTGGTGCAAATTAGTGCAGTACCGAGTCCAACCGCAAAAAAATTTATTGTCTGGATGGAACTAATTATTTTGATGGCTTTTTTTTTTTTTAAATATCAACAGCCCATAATGAAAATGAGCTTAAATGAAACAAATGTAGAGAGTAGAAAGTGGAGATAATTGCAAAAAGAAGTGTAAGGAGTAGAAGTAAAAAGTGATCTAAAAATAATTATTCAAGTAAAGTAAAGATAGCCAAACTTTCTATTTAAATAAGGAAACAAAGTATTTGTACTGTTACTTGACACCTCTGGCCATCAGGAAGACCATAAAACACTGCAAAGATTCAGTCAGTTAGTATCTGGTTTGCAAAAAAAGTTTGATTCTAAAGCTAGAATATCTATACCAAAATGTCTTAATTGAGAGCAAAGAGGAACAATGTTAAATGTCTTGTTTGTTTGATATTTAAAACTTCTTCAGATACTGATTGTTCAGACCAGACTACATTCTGGAAGACATTGGATTGGTTCTGACTGCTTTACCAACTCTGATATATGCAGCTGCACAAGGAGAAACTGGAGCAACAGGGGGCTAGGATGGAAACACCTTAGCCATAATGTTCCAGTCAAAGTTCCACATATTTAAGGAAGAAGTAGATGAAGACAGAACCAGAGAGAGTAAGAGAAGCCGAAAGTTAGACATAGATGAATGGTAGAGTGGGGGTTAGGCTTTCAGGTGTGTTAGACATCCAGCACATCCGGGTCTCATCCAGGTCTCATGCTTGACATCTCTGTCAATAAGGAGACAGAGCAGGAACCTAGATCAGACCTTCCTGTCGCAACATGTCTCATCTTCCTACGGAAGCAGTGACAGATCCAAACCTGAACACCTCTACAACATGTTCTCCTCCATCGTCCCCGTTTCACAGGAGACACACAGAGGCAGAGGAAAGCATGGGTTCCAGGATGAGTCAGCCCTGTCTCAGGGCAGAGATTACCCAAAAGAGAGAGAGAATAGGTGGAGCAGAGGTCTCCTCCAGCTCATGTCCAGGCCCTAGCATCTGCCAGTCTACATCATGTCTCCTGAGTCCCTCCCCCTGCATCAACATCAGCTGCCTGCCTGCTCCTTCTGAAGGGTAGGCCCGGCCCTCTTCCCAACATCTCCAATGATTGTCCTGTTTTTCAGTAATTAGAACCAAATGCTGGATAAACAAAATGAGACAGGACAGCCTCTTTTCTTCTGCTACTTCCTGAAATAACAGTTTAGAAAAGACGTAGAAGGAACTAACCTTTGTTAGACTAGTAGGGTTCAGCTGGGTTTTGTCAATGATCTTTATAGCAACCTGTAAGAGATGAGAAAGAAAGAAAAATGATCAATTTCTGGACAACAAAATGATTCGAAACGTAAACAGATTTCAGCAAAAACTATAAAGAGAGTGTTGGCCTAGTGGGTTAGAGCAGTGAGTTTGTGCTCTGAGAAGGTTGCAAGTCCCCAAAGGCTCCAGGCTGGGTTCCTGAGAAAAACCCTTAATCCTACACTGCCTCCCAACTGCCACACAATGGCAGCCCACTGCTCACCAAGTGGGTGGGTCAAATGCAGAGAGTGAATTTCCAATAATTATAATGATTTCTAATTATATTTAAAGAATTGCTCTAGTAAATTTATCAGCTGGACATCTGTTTATCTCTCTCTCTATATTTCCAAAGTTAATTCTACAAACCATAATGTGACTTTATGTGTGAAGTGGGAGGAAGATCTGACAGAGAATCTCTGATGTTTAAATGATAAACTTGTACGGTTAGCTGTGGATGTATATTTATGTATCCCTCCTGACTTAACAGTTTTTCCAACATTACAGCTGGAAGCAGGTATTCTTCCTACCTCACCTTTCCTACCCTTCCTTTCTGGAACTATCATGCACTACACTTTAGTCAATAATTTTCTTAATAATAATATTTCTACTAATAAATACATGAAATTGATACAGTTGCTAGGGGTGTGCAAAATAATCGTCATGATGATGCATCGTGATTCTAATTTTCGTGATCTACTGCATCGATTCTTGACGCCAAGTATCGATTATTAATTTTAAAAAATAAATAAA